ATGTGTGCTGCACTGGATTCTTCAGGCCATGTAAAGTCATTTTTCTGTTTAAAGATGCACGCAACCTTTCTCATAACAAGCATGCACATACACAAATATTAACTGAATGAATGAAAAGAAACTGAAATGGAGATGATCTGAGGCTGCCCATTGTCCCCATTCTCCCACACAGGAATCCTCAAAACCCTGCTGCTTCTCTTATGAAACCCATCAACTTTCCCTGAGAAGTAATTTCTTTCAATGTGACATCGAAATAGCTCCTACTTACCATAAGGTGGCTCCTATTTAAGATGCCACACCACACAGCCATGTATCATCTGACCTAATCTCATCATGCAGCACGACATCTTCATTGCTGAGCTTTCACTAATTAAAAATGCCAAATATAAGATCACTTAAGCATATTCTTTAAGTCTTTCGATAAAGTTTTATACTGCACGAATCGTAGATGAGACATTCTGACAACACTCACACTCTACCATCTCCACTCTTTTATTGCTCTGATATTTCTTCTTGGCCCCCCGACTCGAGTAACGAGGGTCATAAATTGAACATCGCTCTATGATTTAAGCTACATAATAAAAATTAAATAATTTCTGTGGCATAGTGGGGGAATAAAGCGAGATGACTAGAGAAGGCCATACTGAATATAATTAAGTGTTAATGCACAGAAGGTTTTATTTTAATAAATTCCACTGTACTAAAAGTAAATGTCATGTTGGTACTTGAGACTATGCTGTGGATGAAGAAATACAGGAAAAGCTCTCAAGCTGGTAAAAAGCAAGGAAGCCAAAGTGAAGCCATCTTGAGTGATACTACTATGATCCTGCTAAGAATCTGCCTCTACAGCTCTTTAATAAATGAATTGAAAACATTAGTGTTGTAAAATTCCATCCTTTAGAAGTGTTCAAACAAGAAGTCTGTCCCAGTCAGACTGTATCTCTGCAAACATTTGTCCAAGTGAATAACTGCACACATGAATGGTGCCATTGTCTTCCAGTTGACTGGGCAGCTCTGCAGTCTGTTGCTGGCTGCACAGGAGAAGGGAATGCTGGCAAACAGCACAACCAATACATTAGGCAGAGCAAAAGATTGATACTTAGAGAGGAGGAGCAGAATTGCTTTGCTCTTGCTGATACAAATCAGGATTCAGCAACGTTGTTACGCCAGCGTTACTAAATGGAAGATAAACATCCATGCACTGGCAAATACCTTGCAATTAAAAAATAAATCAATCAATCAGAAATAAACAAGAAAAACCAAGGCAAAGACATTCAAAATGACACTTAAAAGAACATATTCAGAAAGCAGATGGTTTGCGAAGTGCATATTCAGAAGGGAGATGATTTGCATTCTGTGGTGAACCAGCTTGGGTTGATATTCAGAATTAGTGATGAAAGGCATTGGTCCTAAGCCCTACAGGAAGGGCCCAATCCTGTACTCTTTGTTGGCAGGCAATAGCACCATTTGCTGCATGAAGGACATGGGTTAAGACCTGCTTTGTCCTCTTCCAAAAGTCCACAGATCTTTGCAGCTGGCACTAAAAATGAAACTAGGAATTCTGGTCCAGAGGGAGAACACTGCAAGTGTGGAACAGGAGCACATCCAGCTCCCTGCAGCAGGGCCTGAAGAACCAGCCTTGATGCAGTTTTTTGCTTTCTGGGATAGAAAGTCATCACATGGGAGCAGAAATCATCAGAGTGAAGAAGAGCATTAAGGAAGCCTGTGTGACCTACTTATGAACCCTTCCTGATGCATCTCAAGTAAGTTAGTGAAGAGCAAATGAAATAATCCTGTGGAACAGTGCCTGATGACTCCTTCTGCAGTGCCTTTGATGCAAAGCAGCTGGGAATTCACAAGCTGTACACGTGCCTGTGAACGTATGTGCATGCTACTGCACGTACCTGATTTCAGGCAGCGTGTGATGGGTTCCTCAGGCAGAGTTCCTCCAGCAATTCTTACATCTTTACTTACAAGCTAACCACCATGTGAGTACCTAAGCAGTAATATTTTTTTCTTTCACTTATCCCATTTGCATTAAAAATTGCCATTCTGGGGGGGGGAGGGGAGGAGGGTGATCTGCATGGTGTATCTGGATCAGGATATGATCAGCCTGGAACAGAAACATTTTCTGCAGCAAGATGTGGCAAGATGCTTCATGTTTGGGAACTCTGTCAAGACTCCCCTGACATCATAACCTGGCAAAAAGAGCATGATCTAATTCAGCTCCTTTGGAGTGGCAGGATCTTTGTTTTGAAGTAAGGAACTAAAGTTGTTCTGGTCCAAGCCATGATAACCTTGGGCTCAGAGCGTCAAACAAAAGATATTTCAGTAAAGAAGATGATCTTTGTGTCTAGATTCTACAGTTCTGGTTACAGAAAAACTGGCTTTTCAACAGGCCTACGACCCACTGTTATTCTTTCGGTGAGATTTTATCTCACCTTCCCTCTCTTTGTTTTCTGGGAATATGAGCCAAAGCTTCAGGACAGGAACTGCTCCTTACTCTGCACCTGCACAATGTACACTACAGTGAACCTCCTGCAGCTTGGGTTGTGCAGGTTCATACAGCCACAGGCATGCCCCTTGGAGTTGAAGGTGACTGTTCTACAGTAATGTAGAGATTTGCATGATAAGCACCACCTGTTGCAAACATAAGCTGCACTGTGCTGCTGCTGCATCCAACTTCTCCAGGTCTTTCCTGAGCCTTCCCTTCTCATTGCATGCCTGGGTGGCTGCCTCACCACCCTGCAGCAGTACACGTTTCCCCAGTGCAATTGGAGGCAGACTGGGCGCATGGACTGATGAGGTCAGAGCAGGGGCATTTTAATTGTTGAATGTAAGTAATGTTCCCCAGTGTTTAGGGAATAGGGCTGAAAGCACTGTAATAATGATGTCTAGAGAATGTTTAAAACAGACAATATACCTGAGTGGGAACTGCTGGATTTCACGTTGGATGTGCAATTTAGCCCAGTCCTGCCCCTGGGCAGGATACTCAGCATATCCTGTACACAAGCACCCTCAACACTTGCCATCACTTAACTTCATTTTCAATGTATCTTCTGTATTTTCTCCTCTTCACAGTCTTTCTTCCATGCCAACATTTTCTCCTTGAAACTCCCTCCCTCATACTCTTCCTCTTCAAATATATTGTTCTTGTGTTTGCGCTGAACTGCCACACTGAGAAAACCAGGGGTGGTTTTAAGGAAACTATTTACCAGCATCATGCTTCCAAAGGCAGTTGCGTGTTTGGTGAACCCTTGGTGTCAACCAGGTCAGCGCACGTTGCAAAGGCTGCCAACAGAATTCGTTCCAGTGGGGAAAAAAAAAGTGAAAAAGCAAAGAAGCAACAGCTTCTCCTTCCCACAGATGCATTCTTTTGGGTGGGATTTAAAGATAATGGTGTAGCATGAAGCTATTCTGCAGCCCCCAGTGCCCATATGCTTTTTTAGGACCCTTATTATATTTTAATTCCCTCCAGATCACTGGAATAAAACTAGAAGGCTGTACCAAAGCATTCAGAGCCTAGCGCATTGGCCTAAACTGTGTTTTCAATCAGGTCAGAAGACACGTGGCACTATTTTTCTTCTCTATAAATAGTGAAGCACTGGCTGCTCAGATAAATACACGTGTATTGGTTAAACCAAGCTTAAAGAGGAACTAAAGCAATCACTAACCTTTTTATAGTAACTTATAGCAAAGATTTGCCTAGATGGCAGGCTTGTATAAAGAAGTAAATTATCCTACCTCCTTATAGCTGTATAGAGCTGTTCTGTGGATTGGCTGATAGAGCAGCATCTCTGGATGTAGTTCAGAGAGAAGTGAGAAATATTTATAAAATCCTAAACTATGGGGCAACTAAATCAATAATAAGATATGACTCAACAACAGGACAAGACAGAAAACAGTAAGAAGTCTGCTTTTATTTATAAAGCATATACATCAGTTTATGACAGAGCTCAATGCAAAAAACCTTTAAAATGGCCCAGAAGTGACTACTGCTCACCCTGTCCTCCTGCCTGGCACCCCAGGGATGCAGAGAGCAGCAAGGCATGGTGCGTTGCTCCTCTGCAAGGAGATAGCAGGAGTGCTCCAATAAAATACAAATGCTGCAGCCTCAGCCAGCTTTTAGGCCTTTGAAGATAATCACACCTTAAAGTCACCCCCTAGGCAAGATGTATTTGCCAGAGAAGAGCTCAAATGTTGATTAAAGAAGGCAATAATACTAGTCATTAAGCAATAATGAAGTTCTACTGCTCTTTAGAAAGAGGAGGGAGGTGTTCCTAACTCCCTCCTGCTCCTGCTGTTGCTCACTTCACCCTTTCTGTTGCTGGTTCCAGAGGATTGGTCCTACTGCTGTCCATGAGGAGGAGCAAGTCCTTGGAGGGATGCTGCGTGTCATGGAACCATAGGGTCACAGAGCATCCCAAGTTGGAAGGGACCCACAAGGACTGTCCAGTCCAACTCCTGCCTCCACCCAGGACCATGCACCAGACCTGCAGTTTCCATGTAATCAGATGTTGAGACAAAATTTTTGGAAGACAGCATTGATCTTGACATCTTTGTAAGTTTTTCAGCACCCTGTGGAGACAGAGCCAGTGTGTGGCTGTTGCTGTTTCCAGTCGCACTGACTGCTGCTGGAGCTGAGGGGACAAAAAATTTGCATTAGGAAGCAGCCACATGCATTATCGCAATACTCAGCTTTCCTTTGAGCTGGGAAAAAAAGAAAAAAAAAAAGTGGTTATCGCTCTTCACACGCGGAGCTCTTCACTGATTTCCTGGTCACCTGGCCGCAAGGGAACCTGGTGCAGAACGAGGGAGGAAGGGCTGGCGGCTGGGCGGGCATACTGGGGCACACCGGAGGGCTCCGGGACGGAACTGCCACAGCTCCCGAGGCTCGCTGAAGAGAAGGCCCTGTGGCCCTGAGCCGTGGAGCCGCGGCGGGGGGAAGGCGGGCGCGGCCCGGCCGCTGGGGCCGCCTCCTGACGTCGGGAACCTGCCGTGCGCGGGGCGGGGCGGGCGCCGGGAGCGGGCGGGCAGAGCCGGCTGCGGGGCGCGGCGCCCGGCCTGTCCCCGCGCCCAGGGCCGGAGCAGGTAGGGCGGCGGGCGGCTCCCCCGGAGGGAGGGCGCGGGGCCGGGGGGAGGCCGCGCCGCGCAGACAAAGAGCCGGGCCCGGCCCGCGGGGGGCTCCGCGCTGCACCTGGGGTCGAGCTCCGCGCTCCGCCGCTGCTGACGGCCCGCGCGGTTCCTCCCCGGACGCTCGGGCCCGGCCGTGGGCCGCGGGGAGAGAGCGGGGGCCGTTCGCCCCGGGTGCGTGGCCGGGCCGCGTGGGCGAAGCGGCCGGATCAGCGCCGCCGGGAGCCGCGTACGGATGGGGCGTCGCGGAGCCGCCCGGTAGCATCTATCCGTCTGCTCTGCGCCGAGGGGCAGCCCTGCCGCACGCTGCGGGGTAGGGGAGACCCAGCCCTATTCCTAAATGCACCGGGAAACGCAGCTTCGGTCTCGGGAAATAAGAGGAGACGATGCCCTGACGTGCGCTGCTTTTTTCCTTCTGCCTTCAGGCGGAGAGAAGAGAGGAAAATGCGATATTGCGGGAGAGCGAGGAGGAGAGGCAGCAGGGCTGTGCTCTGCGCTGCCGGCCTGTAGCAGCGACAACAAACAGGTGTGGCTTTGCGTTCCCGAGAAGTGCTGCTTTAACCACCCCCCCCCTCGGGTGAGAGCTGCCTCTTTGCCATCCCTTCTGAAAAGGGGATGCTGCTTCCTGCCGGTGGGAATTGCAGCTTGTGATTCCTACCCACTGGTAGCACTTCTATCAGCACCTGTGAGAAGGGAGGAAGCAATTGTGAGTGCCCAGTGTATCTGTCTGGAAGTGGGATGAGCGATAAAGAGGCTGTTTTGCTCTCAGCACTGCTGTCGCTGCTCCTGGGAGTCTGCTGTGGAGCCTGGTTATGTCATCATCCTGATGCTTTGGCCCAGGTCTTGGAGGATGGAGAAACATGAGCTGTGCTTTGTGTGCAGTGAGTTGCTAACTACCAGAAAATGTTTTGGAAAAGTTTTTTGTTTTTTAAACCATATTTTGGTATTTCAGTGGTTGGATTCAGACGCATATTTCATCTTTGAAATCCCTTGCTCAGCCTTACTTTGCTGTGGGAATATGTCCAGGGCTGCAGAGCAGTGGCTCCTACCAGCGGCACATGGAATGCATGCTTCACCAATGCTTGTGGCCAGAAAAAAAATCAATGCAAACGCAGGTTGCAGGCAGCCGCTTTGGCTCCCGTGGCTCAGGAAAGTTTGGGATCTGCAGCTGTGCACTGATGTTCTTCCATACTTCAGTAGCAGCTCACTATGTGTTCCTCTTTTTTGTGTGTTTAGGATGCGTGAAGATTAAGTGCCAAGTGCCAAAATGAGTGTGACTTCGTGGTTCTTGGTGAGCAGCGCTGGCATTCGCCACCGGCTCCCAAGAGAGATGATATTTGTTGGCAGAGATGACTGTGAATTGATGCTCCAGGTAATGTGGCTTTCCTACTCTCTTTAAAAGATGCAGAAGGTGTAATGCTGGGGGTCTATAGAGGTATTGTATGCTCAAAAGACATCTTTTAAAACATGCTTTTATGTTGAGTATGTAGTTCCCACAAAGAGCTCATATATTAATGAAAGTGCAAGTGAGGCTTCTTTCAAACAGCTTTGTCATCAGATGGATGAAGGATAGGAGCATCCAGGATCATACAGATAGGAGCTGTACTGGTAGGAGATTAATCACGTCGAACAGATTAACCGTCTTGATGCAACAGAAGTAGTAAGCAAAGACATACCACTCCATCCTGATCTGCAAGCAATTGAAATACTGGGTTTTGTGGCATGTGATTTGGAGGGGAGCAGGATGTTTTTGCCTGTTTTCCCCACTACTGGAAGTTTGATGAAATTTCAGAGCTTGTATCTCTTGGTTGGTTGGTTTACTCGTTTATTAATTTTTATCATGTTAGGAAATGCTGATCTCTAGCAGAGAAATGCTGGCTATTTTGGTGGGGTGACTAAGGCATTGTCCTCTTGCTCCCAAAGTAATTGTGTTACTTGGGCAAGCTTGCAGCTTGCATTAGTGCGTTCCATGCAAGCATATCTGGACTGACTCCAGCGTGCCTGAAGTGTTGACTGTGGTCTGGTGTTTGACAGTGCAATGTAATGGACGTCACTCCAAATAAATGGAGCTGGAATCTTGCGAATAGCTTTTGACAGGAGCAACTTAGCTCAGGACTTTGTAGAAGCTCACAATTAAATTGATATTTCTGCTAGACTTGTGTGTGAGTATTTGAAGTACAAAAGAAATTTGGTTGCACCTGTCCCCCTTTTGCTCCTTTGCAGAAGTGGCAGAAGATTTTGTGGATCATCTGTAAAGCCTCTGTGGCTGCTGGTGTCACTGTAAGGGAGTTTCCTGAACAACGGGGCCTCCCTCCCCGTTGCTTCCACTGATAACCCAGTAACAGCTATTTCCTAAATGCTTTGCTGACATCCTTCCAGGCAGACTGTGTTTGTAGCTACTGTGCAGATTTTGTATGATATGTTAGCAGGAGGTCTGCTGAGGGGACAGAAGTTCTTTCTTATAGCTGTATTTGGAAGGCAGTTGTTTGTTAAGGTGTTGTCTGGCTCTAATAAAATGATAGTGTCCAGAAAAGGAGAGCTTGCAGTATTTGTGCTGCTCTGCTAGTTGGCAGTGAAGGAAATGGCTTTGCCATTTGGTGTGTCAGCTTGAAGCATACTCTGGTTTGACAGCAGATCATTTGTTTGGGTTTTCCGATGAATCACACTATCTTTTATTTCATTTTTCCACGTCTGACAGGTGAGATGTGTAATGGTGAGACACTTACAATGTCTTAATGTTTTCTGTAAGTCTGCATTTGCTCAGAAACCTGATGGCTGTATTTTCTTGTGACTTAAAGGAAAACAACATGTACAATGGCCTTACTATGGCCTTACTATTCAAAAATGGCCTGAGACTCTGGGTGCACCTTAATTAAGTACCCTCTGAAGGTATTCAAGTTTTCTTTACAGCCAGGGCTTCACACATGGAGAATCACAGTTCTCGAGCTGTGCAGTCCAACGTATAAGTGCCCAAATATCACTAATTGTGAAGATGTGCTGCTTATTTCACTGGTTATTTATGGGGTTAACTGGACAGCATGGACTGTGAAGTTCCCCATACTTCATGGAGTTTTTAATGCTGCTTTAAAAGTCTAAACTGGCTTGTTAATGTTGCATGTGGGCTGGCAACCTTGCAATGCTATAAACTTGTCATGCTCTTCTCTACAAGGTAAATGAAGTGGGATTCTTGGAGGAGCCAGCAGTATCAGTGAGAAGAAGGATGCAGTTGTGTTTGGGGACTGGCAGGTGGTGGGAGGTGGTAGAGGAGATTTTCATAAAAGACATTTCTATTATTTTGCTGGAATGAAGGCTCTGAGCTGTCAGTAAGAGCCAGCTGCTTATGTTCAAGGGCTGAATTATATCTGACCCTTTATAAACGTATTAGTTTACTATATTATATAGTTCATATTATATAATTATATTAGCTTACTATAGTATTATATTAACATACTAGTCCTGAGTAGTATAGCTTTTTCTCAGATCACGTGAATGGTCTTATTTTGAACAGTACATAATTTTCCTAGCCATTTGCTTATAAAGATGTTTTCCCAAGAGCTTTCTTGGGCTCTAGCTGACATGACTGTTGTAACATGATGGGTAGGAGAGAGGCTCAAGTGCACTCTTGATATCCAAGCGAAGTTGCATGTGAGCAGATGGAGGATGAGGTCTAAAAATAGGCTTTTTCCCTACTGTGACTGTCCATGTCACAGAATTATTGTGCAGGTTGGCACAATTGGTTGTCCTGGGGAAAGCTTAAGGAGCTGGGAGGTTATTGGAGCTGATGGACAGAGCTCCTGTGGCAGTGTAACTGTCATATTCCTCTGGTGATGACGCTGAAATTATGTGTTCACTGAATGGTTATTTTGGATATAGACTTCAAGATACGGGCACTCACTACTCCCATGTGCAGAGTTGAGAACAGACTGTCATTGTCTAGGAGGGGGGCTAGATGATCTGGACACTGTTTTTCATCTCTAAGATTATTTCTGCTTAGTGGTTTCATTGTGATATGGTCTGTGGTCCCCTTTCAACAGGGCTCCAACATGCAACACAAGAGATAAGCTCTTCTAGTCCTGAAGATCTAGCAGACTTGCCTTTCTCATCTTACTGTTTCAGGAATGCCTTGTCTTTGGAAGTTTCTTGGCAAAGTTACTTTAAGGTATCAGATCCCTAAACGGCAAAAAATGATGTCTTTGTTACCAAACAATCAAGCCTTAGTTTCACCTGAGTTTACAGGTACTACATTTGCTTTCTAGTTAACAAAGAAATCCATGGTCTTCAAGCTTAAAATTAAGTAGATTTGGTAGTGGGGAAACAATCTGCCTTGGAATCCTCTATACCTACTAAGAGGATTAGAAATATTGTAAAGGTTTTCTCAGCACTGTAAGGATCCTTGTACAAGTAAATGTGAGATTTACATTGGGTTTGAATGTTCATGCATGAGGACAATGCCACGTAGTGTGCTTTGGCATGCAGTGTTGTTATGCATAGTCAAGGGCTCCGTTCTGCTCTCTTTCTGATGATCATAATTTGATTCCTTTTAGAATCCCATTTGCTCCCCTTGGATAAGTCAACCAACAGCAAGAGTGTGGAAATTTAAACCTTTGCTAATTTGCTCTAGCAGGTTTTTCGTAAAGCTTAGTGAAAATGGGAAGTAATTTTCTGAAGATGTTTAATGTTTTCTTTTTCCTTTCTTTTTTCTCCTAAAAGAAAGAGTTGTATTGGTGGCTTATTATGGTGTTTGGGTTTTTCTTTTTGACAATGTAGAGTGAAGTAACTCCCTCCCCCACTGCATTTTTCATGTGAAGTATAATTGCCAGCTTTATCAGCTGTGATCATTTGCTTAATGTGATGGATATTTACTTGCATTAGCAAAATGTTTATGTAGTGTGGAGTTTTTGTTTAACCACTGAAACCTTCTCTCCACCCCTAAACAGAGCATATTTGTCATTTTGGCTAAGTGTAAATATTTAATGGAAAGGAGAGCAGCGTCATGATTTCCCCGTTGTTGTTTAAAAGAGATGTTTATTGGAAAAAATGAGAAAGGAAAACATTGAAGCAGTTCCATTGTGTTTTTGCCTCCCTATAGAGCAGCAGTTGTCCTACACAGTATCAGTTTGTACTCCAGCAGGCAGATGGTGTGGTGCTTCTGTTTCAGGTGTGGCCTTTGTCCTGCTTGTCAGTTAGGACAGCTTGGCACTTCCTGTTACGAGCATCTGCTTTCAGTTGCTTACAACTTTGCTAAACTTTCTAGCCGTTTAAGGTGCAAGTTTATGTTCCAGGCATCTGCTTTAGGCAGAGTATTCTGGAATAGATTGGCTCCATTCTTCGGTCTTAGAGAATGGATCTGAGGAAAACGCTACTTTCTTCATGTAAACTATTTAGAAGTATATTTAACCTGTACTTTGAAGTTCTTGTGCTGCAGAGCTGGAGGTGATGTTTGTCAAGAGGGAATCCCCAGGTGATGGGTTTTCCCATTGATAATGTGTTTGGCTGAGGCGCAGACGTTTGAACAAGGTTGAAGTTCACTTGCAGTCAGTGGGGACAGCTTAGAGACTATTGTTTTTAGTGATGTTTCATCTGAGAGTGAGGTTGGTGAGGTTATGGGTTGGAGGACAGGTTGGGCTAGGTGCAGGGATGCACAAGGCTGATATTTGTGGTCAGCAGCTTTGCGTCCAGGCAGAGGCCAGTCATGAGTAGGGTCCCCCAGGGGTCTGTGTTGGGACCAGTGATCTTCAACAACTTTGTAAATGACACAGGCAGTGGTATGTATCGAGTGTACTCTCAGCAACTTCACTGGTGACTCCAAGCTGAGTGGTGCAGCTGACACAACAGTAGAAAGGGATGCTATCCAGAGAGCCCTGGACAGGCTTGAAAAGTGGCCCCACGTGAACCAAATGAGGTTCAATAAGGACAGGTGCAAGGTGTGTTACACTTGGGTCAGGGCAGTTGCAGATAGGTGAACAGACTGGGGAAAGAACTCATTGTGAGCAGCCCTGCAAAGAACAGCCTGGGGGTCCTGATGGACAAAATGCTGAGTCTGAGGCAGTGTTTGCTCTTGCTACCTGGGAGGTCAATTGCATCCTGGGCTGCATTAAAAGAGGGGTGGCAGCAGAGTGAAGGAAGGCTTGTTCCCCTCTGCTCTGCCCTTGTTTGAGTACTTCTTGAGTACTGCATCCAGGCCTGGGACTTGGAGAAGAAGGGTGTGGGACTGTTAGAGCCAGTCTAGAGGGCCACAAAAATAACCAGAGATCTGGAATACCTTTCCTATGAAGAAAGGTTGAGAGAGCTGGGATTAGTAATTCTGGAAAATAGGGATTAGTAATTCTGGAAAATAGAAAGCTCTGGGGACACCTCGTTTCAGCCTTCCAG